CTCCCAGCATCCTGAGTTATGTTGTGTGTGTTTTTTTTAATTAATTCGCTTTGGAAGCCGCCTTGGGTCCCATTCTTTAAGGATTAAATAAATGAATAAAGCCTTGGCCAAAATTTCTAGAGAGATTACTTTTTGGACGACTGTAGCTCCCAGCATCCTGAGTTATCCTATTAAGGTGGTGGTTTTTTAAAAATTAATTTGCTTTAGAAGCCGCCTTGGGTCCCATTCTTAAGAGAAAGGCGGCATCCAGATTAAGTTAAAATTAAATTGATAAAGTCTTGGCTAAAATTTCTAGAGAAATTACTTTGGGGATGATTGCAGCTTCCAGCATCCTGAGTTATGCTGTTAAGGTGGGGTTGTTTTTTTAAAAAAAAAAATAATAATTCGCTTTGGAAACCGCCTTGGGTCCCATTCTTAAGAGAAAGGCAGCGTCCAAATGAAATAAATTAATAAAGCCTTGGCCAAGATTTCTAGAGAGATTACTTTTGGAGGACTGCAACTCCCAGCATCCTGGGTTATCCTGTCAAGGTGGGTTCTTTGTAATTAATTCGCTTTGGAAGCCGCCTTGGGTCCTACCCTTAAGAGAAAGGCGGCGCCCAAATGACAGAATGAAAGTTTTGGCCATTTCTGGAAAGAGATTACTGAGGGGGACTGCAGCTCTCAGCATCCTGAGTTATCCTTTTTTTTTAAAAAAAAAATCCACTTCGGTAGCTGCTTGGGGTCCCACTTTAAGAAAAAGTCAGCAAATGAAATAAAGTTTCAGCCAAAATATTTGGAGAGAGAGATTGTTTGGGGGGGACTGCAGCTCCCAGCATCTTGAGTTATCCTGTTAAAGTGTGTTTGTCTTTACTTCGTTTTGGAAACTGCCTTGGGTCTCACTCTTAAGCATAAGTTGGCGTCCAAATGAAATAAATAAAAGTCTCTGCCAGAATGTTTGGAGAGAGAGAGAGAGAGAGATTGGGGGATTGCAGCTCCCAGCATCCTGAATTATCCTGTTAAGGTTGATATTATTTTAAAAAACTGATTTGCTTTGGAAGCTGCCTTGGTACCACTCTGGGAGCAAGGTGGCCCCTAAATGAAATAAATACAGTCTCAACCTGAATTTCTGGACTCTTAAAGTTCCTCAAGTCTCCACCAGGTGAGTCTGGGAGTTGTAGTCCAAAATAAGCAAAATGCCCACTTTCCAAACCAGGGGTAGGCAACCTTTCCCCTTTAAGGGCCAAGGGACTTCAGCTCCCAGAATCCCAGGAGCTACTGGCCAACATGAGACTATTGGCCAACATGGCTGAGGCTTCTGGGAGCTGAAGTCCCTCAGCCCTTAAAGGGGAAAGGTTGCCTACCCCTGTTCCAAACTGTTTCGTTGCTGGCTTTTTGGGGTTCCTCAGGTGGTGTGGGACTACTAAAACTGTCAGAGCTATGCCAGGATGCTGGGAGGCATAGTCCAACACTGGAAGCCCAAGCTTGAAGTCCGAAACACACTGCAGAAATAATCCAGTTTGAGACTGCTTTAAC